TATTATTATATATATATATATATATATATATATATATATATGTACAGTTTTACGATACGCAATATTATTGTATATATGTATCGCAATCGTCGCAAATATGTAATAATAATTACTACCGTCCGCCGTCGGTGTATTAATTTGAATTATTGCGCAAGCTACATCGACGATATATGGTTAACAAAAGTACAATAGGATAGATCACTCTCTTTGTAGCTCCAACGATAATTATAGCAGCCATCGTGAACAAATCGTGCTGCGACATTTCTTCTTTTTTAATATCTCTTTAGGTTTACTCTCTTAATAAAATTAAATATGAGATTGTCGATTATATTTTGAAACATTAGAATTTAGAGATGTCAAATGGAAATCCAGAGTAAGAAAAAGTCTATAAGAGCCAACGCAATTATTAATATATATATATATATATATAAAATTATTATCTATATATACAAAAATTGAATTTAACATAAATGTTAATGTTTCAACTCCTATTTGGATCCTCTTGGGATAGAAAGTAATCAATTTCAATTAAGAAACATAGTTTAATCGCATCTAATAAGAATAAAAAGGAAAGATAATTTTGAATTTATAAATAATATCAAATTTTGAACGTCTTATCAAACGCATCTGATTTTTAAAAAAATGTTTCTTTTGTGAAGGAAGAGCGAGCGAGTATAAGATAGAAAACTAGTATGTGCGTTATAATAAATGATATGATATCAAGATATGATTTAGCTTTTGTTAATTAAACGATGACAATTTTCGTCATTGTTTATTAAGGACTCCTATTGTTATTATTTAATTACTTGTTTAATGATTGCTAATGCAGTTATCTTTCTGTTTATTTTTACTAATAGGTAACTCGAAGAAATAAAACTCTATTTATTGTCCGCGTTAACATTTGTACGTTTTAGGCAAATACTCCACAACCGAATAGTCATTAATTTGTTAACTCTTTGCATTTAGAATATCTTGTTTTAACATAAAACCTAGAAAATTTACTCACAAAAATTAGTCACATTTGTACATTCGATAATGTGAAAAACTCGAATCTATAGTGCTGCAGAAGAAAGTAATCGAATATTTACATATAAAATATGATTGGATATAATGTTTTCTCTGTATAAAATAATGCAAACAATAATTAGCCTTCTTTAATATGATTCACAAGATACACAGTAAGATATGCAGAGTGCAAAGAGTTAAAATATCACTGGAAGATATCAGGCCATTTGTCTATTGTCGCAAAGATGAACGAGCAGGAAGATTCCATGGAATATTCGGAAACACTTTTTAATGTTCAATTTCGACCTGGATTTTGGGTCTTTCTTTTAATTCAACACGAGATGTGCGCGCGCGCGCGCGCGTGTGTGTGTGTGTGTGTGTGTGTGATATGATGATATATATATATATATATATATATATACATATATATTATTTTTTTTGTATATACATATATCTATTTTTTTATTCCATACCAGGTTGAACTTGAACATGGGTAATAGGATGGAAATCAGAATAATAATTGACCTATGTAAAACTAATTAATTGATTAACCTATGGCCCGGATGATGATATCTCCTCGCCCGAAGAAACCGGTTCCATCGGTCGAAAATTATTAACCTTCCGGCTTTCCAGGCATCCTCGAATGCGCATCGCATGCTGCGCAATATTAACATTATTGTCAAGCATGATTTAGTCCGATTATTATTGTCATTAATTTTATCTTCTTTACGTTAAGTTCATTATTGTCATCGTTATCATCATCCACATAATCAATTTTTATGTAAATTTCTAAATCCTTAGATCTTTGGAAGGATCTAGATCTTCTCGTATTGTCTGAGATATTTATACATCTTGATATATTTGTTTTCTTAGATATCTACGGATCTTTGTCCGCACTTTTAAATATTTGAATATCTTCACCTTCTTACTTGCATTCTTGAGTTCTTATAGGATTAGGTCTTTAGATCCATCGATCTCCAAAATCTTCAAATATCCATCGATCTAAGGATCCAAACGCTCTAATCCGAGGCTATTTATCTAAAACAATGTTTCGGGTATATCCACCCAAGTCCACTGGACGGCTCCTACCGCTAATCTTATTAAATCTGACGTTAATCGCAATCGCTAAAGAGTAAATGTTTCATCGGTAACTTGTATAACAGGCAATTTTGTCCGCGAAAAATTACTTCCCGTTTCCGTTCACGCGACGCGCGATTGTATCATTCATTCGAAAACTGTGTGTGCAGATGGTTATCTAGTATCCCTTAATATCCGCGAAACTCCGAAAGCCATTTCGCATAGTTAATGTCATTTGAAAAACTCAAAATTCCAAACGAGTTACATATCTTTAACGAGTTATATATCTTTTGAGACGGAGATACATTCGAAAAATGTTTTCAAATAAACTTCAGCCTGTATCCTTATCGATGATATCAGATACTTAAATTTCAGATAATCATGCTCTAAATCTCTGGAAAAAAATTTGAATCTGATAATAAAATTAATAATTATAAAAATACTTAGAAATTATTGAAAAGAAAAATAAAATAAAATAAAATAAAATAAATCTTTTTTACGAATGTATCTCCGTCTTTGCATTATGAAGAAACGACTTCTATTACCGAAGCTTACGTTAATTGACATAATAGATAAGATCCTACCACGCGGATGCGTTGACTACAAATCGACCAGATTCACCAAAATGGATTGCAGCCATTTTCGACCCCAAGCAGCAATGGTCGAAAATGATCGTCACAGGATGAAGTAGAGCGTTTCTCGAGGCAAGATCACCCATGGAAACGCGCGTCGCGATCGAGATTGATCCTAGGTAAGATCCTCGTCCTCGTCGTCGCTGGGACCGCCCGTGGGACAGCACAGTCCTTCGGAACCATCACTCCTGATGCAAAATAGCAATGTCTCAGCCACTGTCACTTCATGCGGCATGATTCCGTGGAATTCTTTCAAGTCCGCCGCCGGGAACCAAGCCTTTTCGTTGTCGTCGATGATGAGAATTCCAAAGTATCTGAAAAGGATCGTCAAAAAGATTCATGCAAAGCACGCGTAAAACAAAGTACAACATTGATCACAGTATTAACGTTATAAACTGTAGACAAAAAGACTAATGCCAACCTGCAAATAGCGACTGTGGGTATCCATAAAACGGAAGTAAGAATAAGAATCGCGATGAGAAAGAGAGCCCAGACAGGCCATTCGTGTCTCTCGGTGATGCCTTTACTCGCCACCCAGGCCGGATAACCGCTTCCTTCAAAAAATATCTCGACAAAAGACGCGATCAGAATACTTAACATCGCCAGTGGACTAAGATATTTCCAACATATCAACCAATAGAGGCCAGGTCGGTTGCCAGTCATCAGTTCGATGTCATCCGCGAATCTGGAATTGTAACGTGTTGATACATTTTTTATTCGAAATCTTGAAGCTCCAAACATTTTATGTGCTTTACCTTTTCAAACCATAGACATAAGACACGCCTATACATTCGAAGAACGCGATTATGAGCAACGGGAAATTTCCACTGAAGTTGTCGAATAGCACAAAAACGTAACTCCCAGCTCCATGAGCAAAGGCCATTGAAATGATGCAGCATACCAAACATATCACACCTGCGCACAAAATCAAGTTTATACTTATCTATATAATGTCTCTCAATAAAATGTTCCTTTTACAATGGAAAGTACTTAACCTGTCAGAATCTCCTTTCTCAAATTCGGGAAAAGCTTCATGTCGACAATACTGGTGACGACACCCTCCAAGGTACCAAATTGGGAATCGATTCCCAGCGTGAACAGCATCAGAAAAAACAGCACCGACCAAAACTGAGCACCGGGAAACTGATTGATCGCCTCGGTAAAGATGATGAACGCCAAGCCTGTGCCTGAGGCCGACTGTAATCACCGTGATTATCATTATTTATGATTTACGCGAGTTAATAAAAGTCACTTTCAGACTCACATTGTCCAACTCCTTCTCCAGATCGCATTCTGGCAGCTCTGGCATTATCAAATTGTCCAATGATCCATTGCCGTTCGTGATGTTCAACAACGTTCCGGCAATCGGGATATCTTCGGGTATCTTGCCAGCTTGACCGTATATATTCATCAGCGTGTTATTTCTTTCCTTTAAACAGTCTTCGTAAACCATGGTTGCTTTGAATCCTGTTCAAGCAGAATTAGAAACTTAAGAATAAGAAATTTTCAAGAAAGAAATCACACGTACCTATGATCGAGAAGACGACAATCCCTGCGAACATAGACGTGAAACAATTCGTCAGGCTAACCATGATGGCATCACGATAACAATTATTGTTCACCGGATTGTAGGAAGAAAATGCTATTAAACCGCCGAAAGCTAAACCTAGAGAAAAGAAGATTTGCGTTCCAGCTTCCAACCAGACTACAGGATCGGTCAACGTCCACCACTAAAATGCGAGAATGAATTAGGTGGTTCTTCATTAATAACTGATTTTAAAGGTGAACGTGGGAGCGCACCTTTGGCGTGAAGAGATGCCGTAGGCCGTCTGACATACCCGTCAACGTTACGCCTCGGAAGAAGAATATAATCAAAACGATGTACGGGAACGTGGCAGTCACATACACAACCTGAGAAAATCAAAATATGATCATTCGAGAATTAACAATTAAATTAAAAAATCGATAACTTTCAATTTTGATAGTGAAAACATCTCGCACCTTGCCCGAGGATGCGATACCCTTAATCATGCACATGTAAACAAGAATCCAGGCGATAATCAACGCTAGAGCGATTTTCCAGTTAAACACTTCCGGCGTGTTGATGTCCTTGGATATCATTAGAGTGGTTCGATACCAGAAGTATTGCGTCGGGCTGCTGGCCTGTCGATTTAATCTCACGTTACAAACGAAGGCGCATTTAATGCACGCGCATGCATACACGCACGGTGAACTAATTTATATTGTATTAAGACAACTTGGACATTACCAAACACTCAGGTTCAGGCGCGTAAGATCCATTTTGAAAGTATTTGTTGGGGCACTCTGCCCAAGGTAATTGTGACTGGAAACTCTGAATCAGATTTAGGTCTCTATGAGTAACGAATAAAAACGTCAATTAGGCAGATAGTATTTTACCTGAACGAAGTAAAATAGGCACCAGGCGATAATTGTATTGTAATACAGAGCCACATTGAAAGAAACTACAGCGCTGCTGACTCCGATGCCACCCATATACGGGGATACCTTTGAGAAAGAGATTCAGATTCATTTAGAAAAAGTTCATCTTCAAATTCATTTTCATTGATTCATAAATATTCATTTGAATTTTTTGTTCTATTTACCTGATTCCACACTCCAATAGCACCTTTCCTCAGTCTCTGGCCAATTGCCAATTCCAGATAAAATATAGGAATACCCTCAATGGCCAACATCACGAAATAAGGAATTAAAAAAGCGCCTGTAAAGATTAGAAACCATGCTTACGATTGTACCAGAAAGAATCTAAGTAATCCGAACGAAGTGATGAACCTACCTCCACCATTCTTCTGGGCCAGATAGGGGAACCGCCATACGTTTCCAAGACCCACCGCGTATCCTACGGTCGCCAGGAGAAATGTGAGCTTGCTATCCCAATTTTCACGCTCGTCTTCGCCTGCTTCTGGTCGGAAAGTCGCCTTGCCATCGTTATTGCCGGGGCCGTTTCCTATTTTGCTCTATAAAGATCAACGAAAAGATAAGTTTATTAAATTTTATTTTATTATAAATGTATATTTTTATTATGAATGTCTTTATTTGGTATCTCTTGCAGGGATAAACGCGAGATAGGTACCTTGTTAGGACTGGTGTCTTCGAAGGCCGCATTGGTGGCCCCGTAATTGGCAGTGGCGACGTTCTTTCGATTCTCTACCACTAATCTACCACGCATTTCTTTCATTTCGAGCTTATCGATGCTTTTTTGGGGCTTTAAGTCGCGGGAGCTTTGCCGGCGAACAAGATGAGCCGTGTTCGCCATATCTTCTCCCTTTTGGTTTTAATTCTTTCTCAAATGCGAATCTTTTGATTAAACGAGAAGGTCTAGACGCTTCATCCTATTGAGAAATAAATTGAAATGATTATTAGGAAAGATGAAAGTAAACGCTAAGCAAGTAACGAACGAAAGTCATATATAAAAAAGTTAAAAATTTTTCTAAGAATAAGAAAGAAATATTGATAATAATATAAATTAATGTAAAATTACAATATATAAATATATAAATGGCCACGAAAGAGATTTATATCAAAATTGCAATGCGCTACGTTTAATCTACGTTTAATCAACACGCATTCACGCAAAATTAATTATTTAATTCATAATTAATCAATTTTAACTTTCTCATATGGAAACTGTCCATATGTGCATGCGGCACTCTTATGGATTCAATTTATATTTATATCTGTGTGTGTGTGTGTGTGTGTGCGTGCGTGCGTGCGTGCGTGCGTGCGTGCGTGCGTGCGTGCGTGCGTGCGTGCGTGCGTGCGTGCGTGCGTGCGTGTGTGTGTGTGTGTGTG